TTGATACTGGGAGTGTTCTCAATTACCAAGCTACACCACCTGTGTTTTTGCATAGCCCCTTAATCCCGAGAATCAGACAGGGTAACAACAAGTACAATCTTTTGACGCCTTTTGATATGATGCTGCTGAGTATCAAACCCTAGACCTTCCAGTCTTCGGGCAGAATGGGCCAAGCGGCCTTAAGTACTGAATGAAATGTCTATCTGTTTGATTAAATTGCCAGGCCAAAGAAAGTATATACCCATGTTTGATGGTGGCTAAAAATGAAACAAACAAGAAATGGTTATTTGATGGTGATGTGTTTGATAAGGGTAGTTGTATTTTTGACCGACAACTGTTTTTGGCCTAGTAACATTTTCATAATGTATGTAATTTTTTGTTCAAATCCAATTTTCAAGTGTATAGTATCCCATCACTATAAGTGTAATAAATATACCGTATTCGACGTAATAAGCGCGCTACTCTAATAAGCGCCCACGGCAATATTTGCTAAGATATTGGCTAGTGAACAATCCCAATTAGCACCCCTTCCAATTGATCAATGTACACAAGACTTATTTATTCGCGTATAATACACAATCGTGTGTTATATGCACCCTTAATTATGGGGAATTTAATTCTGGAAAAATATATCTGTCATACATAAACATTTCAGGCTGTCAGCATAAACCACAAAATTTATCTTTCAACTCTGTTTTTTTTCACCAAAATAATGTTCTAATAAGAGCCCGCTATTCCTAATTTTGAGAGCGCCATCGGCGCTTATTACGTCGAATACGGTATGCATTTGATAAATAACCACAAATAAATAAGACAGCCAATAGTTACCTTAGTATTGAAAGCTGATTCTGCTTTGGATTTCTCACTGGATCATAGTGATGGAAGTGACAGGCTATTATAGGTATACAGGATTTATTTATATGTGCTAAAATGAAGCTTTTGACACATAAAGACAGGACTATTTTATGGATCTAACCAACTGTGGATAGAAACTTAGGTGGGTTCATTGTCAACCTATCTTAGTGAGGTCATTAACAGTAGGAGGCTTATATCAATCTTTTCCTCCCCAAGTGTCTTGTAATCAGTTTAACGACAGCTTCTCTAACAGCCTGATTCATGTGGAATTAATGCATTATTTCTACCTGGAGCTGGGCACAGTAGAATACACATTCACAATAAATTGCCTCATTATCAGGGTAAGACCACAAACATGGACAGAATTCATAACAAATTTTCCAGAGTTCTTCATTCCATTAGAATCATGGGATTTGTCCACGATCTAACTTGCAGGTAAATACATCACATCATGGATGAAGAAGTCGCTGTGATGGGGCTGGCTGCTGACTTTTCAAGCCTGCCTCCCTCCATCGGTCTGTGAAACATAGACAATGTCAAGATAACACTTTCTGCAACTGCCCTACAAAGAAAGACCTCATGGAGATGTTAGTTCAAGCTGACCTATACTCAGTAACAGCTAGTCCAGCTGCCATTTGTAAACATTATTCTCTAAAAACAATCCATAAAAAAGGGAAACGTGTTGTGTGATGAGAAGAGGTTGTTGAGTTTAATGAATGTTTTATTATCAATGCTATTAAGGGGACTTTCTGATTTGAATAAAACTGCATAGCCTTTTAAATAAAAAAACATAGTTTCAGCAGTAACGTTTTTGTTACGAGAATGTAGGAAAATTGTTCTCAAGGTTATTAATGACTTTGTTAATGATGCTTTATAAATCTGTTAGGTCAGGTATGAGGACACATGAAAGTCTAAATGTGTATAGGGAAGAAATAGTGTTTCAAAACTGTGTCTGGTCTATCATGGTTGACTATTGCACTGCAATTTGCTAAACAGAGTTTTGTCCCTTAGGTATAGTGGATCCTGCGATCATGGGTTCCAATCTGAGACTATGATCCTTGGCTTGTCGAGGCTGTACCAAGACCTGCATAACGGTCTCTCCTCCCACAGTAGGCTGACATGCAATGATACAACTGAAGTTCTGTTCAAAGTATTAAACCCAATTTACAAACTCATCATGGTTCTGGCATAGCTCCACTTGTGTACATATCAACTGTTCTTGTTGCTATATATGGGGGCGGTAACCAAGTGGTTATAGCCTTCGCTCATCACGCCGAAGACCCGGGTTCGATTCCCGACAATATGTGGGTTTGATTGGGTACAATATGTGAAGCCCATTTCTGGTATCCACTGCTGTGATATTGCTGGAATATTGCTAAAAGCGGAGTAAAACCAAACTCACTCACTCACGTGTTATATGGCTGAAATAATGCCGATGCCATGTTAAAATTTAACTCACTCACTCACTCTGGCATAGCTCATCACAACTGTGCATTTCCCAACGTAACCTTTCGAAACAAATGGTTGTCATTAATTGGTTACTATGACAACAACTTAATCCTTGCCATATTTAAGCCGTTGTCCAAGCTGTGATAAGCCAAGAGAGGTCAGGTCTTACCCTCAGCTTAGCTAGGCTTAAGGGTGCTCTGGGTCGTCATTACTACCATAATGGCTCATTATAACTGCATATAGTTGGTTATAATGGGAGTAAGACTTCAAGTATATCTTCTACTTGTCTGTCTCTCTAACTGTCGAACCCTGCAACCTATTACCAATCAATATTATTATGATACAGACATACCCTTCGAAATTCTGACGAGTGAAATAAGGTTAACACTAGGCCTATGGTCTAGTCTTAAGAAAATGAATTTTTACAGGTATAGATTATACCTTATGATATTTAATGCTTGGGTTGATGTTTATTGCTAAATGGTATAATCTGACGGATAAATAAATTGAGAGGCAATGCAGTCTAGTTGTTTGAAATTCCATGTCTTGGTTTAAGATGATTCTCAAATAAAAATAAGTTAACAGCGTTTCAATCTTCAAAACTAAGAATTAAAAATAACATTATCTGGGAAGCACTTTTTTTCTTGTATTCCACCCACTGCAAACTTACATGTTGACTGCAAATATTTGTGCAAACTATGCACTGAACTGCAAGATGGACATGGGTGGCTTAATTCCTTAACCCTGCTCACATTAATTAAAACAGATTCAGATAACAAAATAATTCGAAATTTCTGCTATTTTCCACCAGTTGATCTGGATTTTGCACCAAAAAACCTGTACACTAAGAATAATATATTTTTCCTCATGATGTCTTGAATTCATGTTTTGTCATGATGTTTGACGGCCATTGATTTACTAGAAGCATTAATTGGGATGTTGTAAATGATCTGGAACTAAAGGAGACCAGTAAGAGAGCCTCATCTGTTTTATATTTAGATCTACCGGGTATGCATGAAAATTCAGAGTGATGAAACACTCTCCACAAGACTATATGACATGAGGGATAGCTTCAATTTTCCAATGTCAACCTTCCCTTTATGTTGAACAATACGCCAGAAGCTCCAGCAATTGGGGTCAACATTTTACAACTTTTGAAGCACAATCGAGCATGATTTTTCAAGGATGATTTGAAATGGAGTCATATGACTCTTTCTCAAAAATTGTTCGATCAAGGTTCATGGACTCAGTAAAGATTTGAAAGATGTTCATGATACAATCAGAATCGTACAATCGATTCTGCTTTTTGCAGAAGGGTCTAGCGCTTCCATTTATTTTACACTACCTCATATAGAGAAGCCATATATGTCAGTCTCTCAGATATTATAAAATATAATAATACATAAACTCTGCAACATTACTGTGTAATTGTAAATCTAGATGCCATTTCACTCAGAAACAATCTGGCTATCCCTAAACAAAAATCTGAGGACATCCCATTACGGGTCACATCAGACCGACCTTGCGCAAATTTTGACCGACCAATGGAAGGAGCTGACAAGAAGTCGACATTAGCCATTCAGAAGGCAGCTTTCTCGTGCTTTACCGTACCAATTTCAAATTGGTGACTATACTTTGAAACATATTTTGTCAAATTTTTGATTAAAAAATTGAAACCTGAACAAAAGAACACATTCTGGAATGGCAAATATATGGTCTAGGTTTCTGGCGTGCCCAAGGGAAGCAACTCTGCACAGCGAATCGCGGCACCTTAGACGACTGGGCCACCCGTGCCCCCCAATGGGCTTGTAGTTTCATAGACGTCGAAAATGCAGTAACACTAGAAAGTACATCAAATGTTATAACGCCATCACATACATGAAGCACTTCAAAGGTCATAATGAAACAGACAGAAATGCCTGCCTTATCGGCAAAATGACATATGCCTTACAATGATTATGTTTAAAATCAGATTTTATTTCTGTGAGTAGGTTTTAGTGAGTGAGTATAATCTTACATCACTTTTAGCAATATTCCAACAATATCACAGTGGGAAATCGAACCCAGGTCTTCACTGTGACAAGCCAAGACTTTCATCACTGGGCAAGTGTAGGTTTTTGAGCTGGGATCATTTATACAAAGTTTCAGGTCTATATGTCTTACGCTTTCAGAAGCACATCACAGTGGGAAATCAAACCCGGTGTAAAGTCTGAAAGTATACCCCCCCTTCAAAGTTTACCCGGGTAGATTCTTGGGCCTTCCAGAATCTACCCCAGGGTAGATTTTGGGAGCTCCCAGAATCTACCCCCCTTTCCCAGAATCAACCCCCAGGGGTATAATCTGGGAGTTCCCAGAATCTACCCTGAGGTATAACCTGGGAGCTCCCAGAATCTACCCCTGGTTATAACTATAATCTAGGAGCTCCAAGAATCTACTGCAGCCCTGTTTGATTTAAACATTTTTTTTCATGAATGTACATGAAGTTTTCTTTTGGGGGATGCATCTAACTCAGTCTTGATCTCTCCTGGTCAATTGCTGTAAAAACATTGTCATCTGATTAAGTTTACATAAATGCCTATTCAGTACACATCTAATTAGTTTTAAAACATGCACTTCCTGTTATTTATATTGAGAAGATGAAAGGTGGGAGCACCAGTTTTTCCAAACAGTATACATTATGATTAAAGAAATCTCACATGTTAGATGATAATGTACATGACTGTACAGAGGCGTATCCTGATAAGTCTGCAGATTCTGTAGCTGACTTCCTGTACAAGACCGTGTGCAGACTTGGCTGCTTTGACATTTTGATCAGTGATCAAGGTAGAGAATTCATCAACACTATAATTGACAATCTTATGACCAAGCTGGGAACTGAGCACAGAGTCAGTTCAACATACCATCCTCAGACCAATGGACAACGAGAGCGAGACAACAGGACCCTTAAGAATGCCCTCTCAAAGCTTGTCAACGACCGTGGAGACAACTGGGATGTTTTTATACCTGGAGTTCTGTTTGCCCACCATACATCTGTACATGCATCAACCAAGATGACACCATTTGAATGCATGTACATCAGAAAGGCAAAACTACCGATGGACATTAAGGACTCTCCAAAACCAAAAGAAGTTGTGATCAGTGATGATTTTCTCCAAGCCATGCAGAACCTGCGACAAAACATCACATCAAAGGTCAGCAACAATATTACAAAGCCCAAGAAGATTCAGAAGGAACAACATGACAAGCTACACAACAGTCATCATGAGTTGGGGCTGAGGACAAGCGTCTACCTGAAGAATTCACGTCAAATGAACAGAATTGGAGCTAAGCTTGAGCCAAGGTTCCTTGGACCATATGAAGTTCATCAAGTGCTTGGCAAGGGACGTGTTAAGTTGAAGAGTTTGAAGAGTGGCCAAGTGCTTCGCAACGCATACCATGGATCGAATTTGAAAAGACACACTCCACAAGACGTCTTCCCCACCAACCATACCAGTCCTGCTAGTCACTCCAGCTACACCAGGCCTACCACCAGATCTACCAAGACTACCAGTTCAACCAGTCCTAGCTGTCGCACCAGCCACACCAGTTCAAAACGCTCTGTCAGTCCTACTGTACCACACCACACCAGGTTTATGAGTTCTACCAGCTGTACCAGTCCCATCAAGTCCAAGAAGCCCAGCACCACAACCAGCAACACCCCCAAGAGGCCACATTACAGCTTCCAGCCAATGACCATTCAAAGAAGAAGAGAACTTTCTAAACAGTGACATTTACCTTCATTTAAGTCTGTTTATTTTGGAAGAGAGAAAGAATTTGAGGCACCAAAAAGACAACACAAGACCAAGGGTGATAGCAACTGCTTCTTCTGCGCCATTAGTTATTTTCTAACTGGTCAGGAGACGTCCCACTTACGCCTGAGAGATGCTGTTGTACAACACATGCGTGAGAAAGGGGAAAAGCTGGAAAACTACCTTCAGCAGAATGTGACGAAATACTTAAATTCGTCAAGAATGGCCGAAAATGGTGTCTGGGCAACGGATGCAGAGATTATGGCCACTGCTTCTCTTCTGCAAACTGACATTGTTGTCTATACCAATTATGGAAAGGAGCTGAAATTGCTATGCTACCCAACATCATTCACACTTGAGAAACTGTCCATTGGTGCAGTGTATCTGACCAACCTCCATGAACACTTTGACGTTGTAATAAATGTCAAGTGACATTGAAATAATTCAAGGAATCAATGGATATTGGTTTTCAGAATAAATTGCTCTCATATTTTATGTTAGTTTTCTCTATTTGTTATTGATAATAATATGAAACTCTGACTAAGACAATGACAATTGCTTCATGATATTACAGCCATCTGACTATATTTAGAAGAATTAGAATGTAAATGGACAAATAATTAGATTGTTTTAATGATGTGATGTCTTCTATATGAAGAATATATTCTTGATACTGTGATACATGCCTCCCCAAATAAAGGTACTTACAGACATAAGTGCATACTTATAATTGGTTTCAAAATGATTTTATATGCAATCAAAAGTAGGTAGGTCTATTCACAAAGCATGTTAAAGCTTATTCAATAACATAAGTGTAAGACATTTCCTCACACAATTCTCAACACCAACTTTCGAACTTACAAATTGATGATGACTACAATGAGTTAAAGTCAATGTGATTTGTAAGATATTTTTTATTAGTTTAAACAATATTTATTTCTTCCTTGCATGTATAAAACAACATTTTGAATTTTTGGATTCGATAACAATTTATTACCGGTATTATCTACACCAGGATAGATTTTGGGAACTCCCAGATTATACCCCCTGGGGGTAGATTCTGGGAAAGGGGGGTAGATTCTGGGATATGAATGTTTTAAAACTAATCAGATGTGTACTGAATAGGGATTTATGTAAACTTAATCAGATGACAATGTTTTTACAGCAATTGACCAGGAGAGATCAAGACTGAGTTAGATGCATCCCCCAAATGAAAACTTCATGTACATTCATGAAATAAAAATGCTTAAATCAAACAGGGCTGCAGTAGATTCTTGGAGCTCCTAGATTATAGCTATAACCCAGGGTAGATTATGGGAGGAACTCCCAGATTATACCCCTTGGGGGTAGATTCTGGGAAAGGGGGGTAGATTCTGGAAAGTCTCCAAAATCTACCCCGGGGTAGATTCTGGGAGCTCCCAGAATCTACCCGGGTATACTCTGAAGGGGGGTAGATTTTGGCACCTTACACCGGGTCTTCACTGTGACAAGTGAAGGCTTTAACCACTAGGCAACCCCACTGCCCTGTGTAGGTTTTTGAGACACAGTAGCTGGGATCATTTATACAGGCCTACATTTCTTGTGTTCTCAGAGGAGAAAATGTTGACAATGTAAACATTAAAATGACAGAGAGACAACACACCAGGACATTGAGTTCACTTGACTTTCAGTCAGGTGAGCTAAATCTGATTATCATCGAAACCAAGAATGACGAGGACTCAATTACAAATTACACTAAATGAACTAGGCTAAGGATACACCAACTATATTTCTTGTGTTATAGTTCAAAATCTACATTAATCTTGACGAGACAAATGTAGCTTACCGGAATGTTTTTAGCTGGGATCATATATACACAAGTAATGCTTCCTAAACTCAGAATAGCTTTTAGTAACTCAGAACAAACTGATAGATAAACTGGGTTACATGAAAAAGGTCAAAGTTAAGAAAAGTATTGTATGTTATTCTGCATACCATATATCATCATAAGTATCATAATGATACATGCAGAAATGGCTGAGCAATGAGCAAAAAGTACATTTTCAATATGGCTGCCACAATGGACATGTTTAAAATCGGATCTGACGTCCATGAACAAGTTTAGAGACACAAAGCTGACAGCATTTATGCAAAGTTTCAGCTTCATGCTCCTTGTAGTTTTAGAGGAGATGTCAGTTGAGTTGTGTTTTAAAACATTTAATTTTTTAAATAAATTTTAGAACAGAAATCGCCTAAAATCAATTTTTGTCGTCTGCCTCTTGGCATATTGACCAAGAAAATCCATAAAACAAATGTTAATTGGTCTGGCCTGAAACTTGATGACAAAACTGTCATACAGGGCATTATGTAAAGAAATTAAAGACATGCCCTTAGTCCCAGTGACGTTTTCCTAATCCCTTTCCTTATGAATGAAAGGATGCAAAGTTTGAACAGTTCACTGAAATGATCAAACAATTTACACATGATTAAACATCATGTTACTAAATTTTTGAAATGTTCTGTTATTACTATTGATGCAGGACACATCTTACATGTGAATCTATCAATCAATTCATTTTATTTCCTCAAACTGACCACAATGTATACACTTGTTGACCCATGGCATTATTCTATGTGACACGCAGAAGCAATAATGACCACAGTGGCAGCTGGAATGGTAATATTATTCCATTAATGCTCTTTTGGTTAACATCAAAGAGAATTGTTTGATGGCATTTCTGTGTTTCCAGATTATCATCTTGAAGGGAGCCATATTTAAGCAGAAAAGTTCTGTTTCATGTCTATATATATTCAAGGTGTACTTATGCTTGGATTTTGAAAACAATTTATAAAAAACACTTGAAGAGAATCCTTGGTGGTTATATCATGTTGTTGAAAACAAGAGTGTAAAAAAAATAAATGAATATTTCAGAGGCTTTTCAAAATGAATTTCAATCATGCCATGTTTCCTTCAGATTTGTACTGTATTTTCTTGAGTATAGTGCGCACCCAAGTATAATGCTTACCCCCCCCTCTAGTGGATTCAGTATTTTGGAAAAAAAATTTGAATATTATGTGCAGTAAAAAATTACCCCATCAGCGAATTCCGGCAAACGAACAGGTGTCAAAAAAACTTCGTCAGTACAAATTTGAAATTTGAGATAAAAAATCACCAGGCATGTTGATTTACCGTTTAAATTGAATTTTTTGTTCTGCTAGGCATTGTTTTAGATCCAGGAATTAAGATTACCTTGTATCTTGTAATCTCACAGAAGGTTGATTTCAATTTATTTTCAGACAAATACCATCTATCCATGATTAGAAATGAGTATTTTCTGAACTAATATTCAACAATGGAAATAGATAGCACCAAGGCACTGTTGCTCAGTGTTGTAGTGAAATCAAGAAAGGAAAGAATGGCTGTTAGTTGGCTTTTAATGTGGTCTGTTTGACGTCAGAGGACAGTGTGACATCAGTGTAGTAATATTTTATTGTTAGGGTAAGAAACATTCATGTACAGTATTGCAAAACTTTTGTGAAGCAGTTTCTGAATTTTATTGTGCAACATCTTCAACAATGGCCAATGTTGAGTGCAGTGGATATTGACTAGAAGATTACACAAGGTTTCAACCCAATCAATGAATGTTAAGGAGAAAATGCTTTAAGCTTAATCTACTGATTAATCTGAAACGCCATGAATTGTTGCATATCCTACCAGAGTATCAGCTCTATGTGCCTTTTAGATTCTGAAGAGATTATGCTTGAACATGTTTTACAATTGAAGAATTCAAAAATCTAAAAAGAATCTGAACTTGTCAAGTTCATGCCAAGAACAAATGCAAGTCATAAGCTGGTCCTACACATCTTCTTAAATTTTAAGCTTTCTGGGACTTGTGGTTTGTAAAAAGAAGTTTATTAAACATTTTCGAATTTTGAAAAAGAATGCTAAAACTTTATTTGCATAAACAAATTTCAATCTGATCGTATTGCAATACACATACCAATGCATACCTAGAACCCAAACTAGACTTTGTGGTGTTTGAAACAATGACTCCTAAACATGTTTCAGTGCTGTTATCATATTTGTTTTATATTTATAAATTCTTTTGATATTCTTTTAATGATATAAACATAGCAAAGTCCAATTATGGCTCCAAACGATGGAGAGATGAGTGAGTGAGTTGGGTTTAACGCCGCTTTTAACAGTATTCCAGTCATATCACGGCGTGTCAGCTTAATGTGGGAGGAAAGCCCGAAGTGAAGCAGGTCTCAGAGGTTTACCACTTCGGTGAAGCAGGTCTCAGAGGTTTACCACTTCGGTGAAACCCACGAGCACGGGTATGGTGCTGACAAACCTGGAAACATAATCTGGGCGAACCGGGATTCGAACCCATCATAGGTTTCTGGCGTGCCTAAGGGACGCAACTCTGCACAGCGAATCGCGGCTCCTTAGACGACTGGGCCACCCGTGCCCCCATGGAGAGATGAGAAGACATCAGGCCATAAGTATGTATTCAGTCTTGGTGAGCTAAAAAACGTAATTCAATATATTGACATTATGAATGACATATTTGGAATACTATCCATAACATCTACATTAAAGTTGTGTGATTTTGAATAGAAAATGACAATTTCAATCATGTAGTTTAGTGACAGAGTGATCCAAAGTTTAATGTAAAATGGATGACATTCGAAGGAAATAACATTGCAGCATTGTGACGCCAAGTCCATCTCATGATCACCAACTGATAACAAAAGATGTTTCCGCTTTAAAAATGTGAAAGCAATCATAGTGTATTATTGTGCTGTACTTTGCAAAAAGATCTCATATTATCCAAATACCACAGTGTTCATAGGTCGCAATAACTCATTCAATATTGAATGACCTAAACCAATAAAAACTAAAGTGGAAAATGTGACTGCTTTAGGGGATTTAACGTTCCAAAACAGCTTTACAAGTTATCTTTTCTATTCAACATTTTTCTTTCTCAGTGTTCATT